ATGTTTTCTGCACACCAAGGTGCATAAGCCGCACATGGGTTCTCCCTCACAACTTTGCCCCACAGCACAGTCGGTACGACGATGCGATGGCGCTGCACTTCTGCATCCCACCTCATAAGCAGCCCATCCCTGATGACCACCAGGGACACCTCCCTCGGGCCCTTTTTGCAGCTCGCTGTACCGACGCGGCGACGCAATTTAAAAAGGGAAGCGTCCTCCACCTGGAGGCGTCCCCACTCGCCAAGTGCCAGACCGATAGTACTGTCGCGCGCGACTGTCGCTATGTGTGGGGAACCATCCACAGATGCCACCATCGCACAAGGCACTCCGTCACCTACTGGCTTACAACGCCCTGCCCCAGTCAAACACGCACACTGGCCTTTCGGCGACAATCGCGACAAGGCGTCCGCATTACAGTGGCGCAACCCCTTTCTGTAGGTGACAGTGAAGGAGTAATCTTGCAAAACTTCCAACCAACGCGAGAGCTCTCCCGATCGTTGGTCAACTCAAAGCGCATATTGTAAAGCCGCGTGATCCGTGCGTACCACGAAATGCCTACCATATAGGTTAGGCCGGTACTGCTGCACGAAGTTAACGATGGCTAGCAACTCGCGGCGCGTAACACAATAACTTTGCTCTGCGGGAGACAGCACCCAGCTTCCGTACACGACCACCCTTTCTATTCCGGTGTCACTGGCGTCCGGGTCCAGCACAAACGGTATAGAGAAATCAGGGTAGAGAAGGGGAGGCACATTCACAAGACCATTTCACAACGCAACAAAGCAGCCCCCTCCTCTTCTCCCCACCGAAATCTCTGGCCCTTAGCAGTAAGAGTGTGGAGTGGTTTCGTGACTGTCGCAAACCTGGGCACAAAGCGGTGATAAAATGATGCGAACCCCACAAAACTATGAACTTCAACCCACCGACTTGGGGGTTGGCCACGGGCGCACACAAGCAGTTTTGTCAGGGTCTGTGGCAATCCCTGCCTCACTCACAATGTGCCCCAGGTAACAAACCGACCTCTGCAAGAGATTACACTTCTGCGGCTTCAATTTAAAATTTGCCGCCCACATTTTAACAAACACCGAGTGCAATCGCTGCAGATGCTCCTGCAATGTGCATCCAAAGATGATCACGTCGTGCAAATAAATCAAGCACGACTCCTATCAGTTGCTGAAACTTAGCCGGGGCCGAGTGAAGTCCCATCGGCAAACAGTTAAGCTGAAAAAGCCCTTGTGGGTGCGAAATGCTGTTTTGGGCTTAGAGTTTTCATCCAAGGGCAACTGCCAAAACCCCGACAGCAAATCCAAGGTGGAAAAGAATCACGCACCCGACAAGGCATCCAATGAATTGTCCATCCGTGGGAGCGGTTAAGCATCTGCCACGGAGACCTTGTAAAATTTTCTAAAATCCACGCAAAATCTCATACTCCCATCCTTCTTCCTAACCAGAATGGTGGGCGCCTCCCAGGGACTGGTGGACGGAGAAATAATGTCGGCGGCCAACATCTCGTCGACCGCCTGACGCACAAGATCCTTTTCTTTCGGGCTAAACCAAAACAAATTTTATTTGGTGAGTGGTATTACCCGTATCAATATGATGATGCATCAAAGACATGTGTCCCACATCAAATCTACTTTTGCTAAAAACGTCAGAGAACTCCCGGAGCAAGGCACTTAACTCGCCCTTTTGCTCACTTGTCAAATCCGGGTTCTCGGTGCACAGCGCATCCATCCACGACTCGTCCCCTACCGCTCCACGCTCCACTGAAACCTCAACACCTGCATTCAAAGCCTGGAGGAAGGGTTCCTGGTACCTCCTCAAGATCGTTTATAGGCTCCCACCAGCGTGAGACCCTTAACTGCCCTGTTCGAGGGGGTGAGGAGAACCCCCCCCCCCCCCTGCTGCAGCTTCTCGGTTGAGCTGCTTTCGCAGCCGCAATGGCACAAGCATCTGTGCTCCCGGGGGAACTCGAACAGCTTCCTTTACCAAGGCCTGAACTGTAAAATTCGCCACACGCAGTCGAGTCAGGGCCAACAAGAACGCCAACCTATGCCCCGACGACAGTTCAACACAACCCTGGTCCACCAGCATTGTCGATCCCCAATAGACAAGGTACAGCCAGTGACTTAGAGATCAGCACTGGTCCTGACAACTCAATATCTCCGATCCGCACTGTCACAATTATCTGACCCACAATGCCCAAACTCCCGCCATTAATGGCAACACAATTACTCCATACAGGTCCCAAACAAATCGACTTTTGCCCCCCACCACACTCTTACAGTGGCGTACTCTGTGGTGATTCCCTGCGGTGCCGGTGGAGGCTGCAATCTCTTACTCTGTCGGTAGGACTCGTCAGGCTTTCTCCTGCTAGCACCCAGTGCCATGCCCCTAGTGGCCCCCTGCATGGTACTGCATAGTGTGTTAGCCTCTGCACCTGTTTCACGCCACTTGGCGCAACACGCTGTAGTGATGCATTTAATATCACTACAGACGTAATGACAGTAGAGCCTACATGAGGTGTGAGTGGACTAGTGGCCACGGGAGGTAATAACGGGGGTATCAGTTATGAGTGTGAAGGGACTGGTGGCGACGGGAATGATCGAGAAGGAAGCGTGGTCATGTGACGGAAGAGGACGGTAGAGTCGGCTTGTAGAGCGAGCGTCCATAGTCAGCGAGAAGGTTCGGGAAGGGGGGTGTGGCCTCGGTTGGTATATAAGGGAGATGCGTGGGATACTCGGGGCTGTTGCAGTGTGGTCTCCGTCGATGTCAAGTGAACGTGTCTTGAATAAAGTGCCATCTCAAGAGAAGTGTGTCAAATTTCGATTTAAAGCTTTCGTGACTACAATGATTCATCTTCTTTGGTTCTTTCGGTAAAGTCACGTAGAATGATAATAAAATAATAAATTGATAAAATAAAATAACACAATAATATTCTCACGACGTTTCGGCCACAACACAAGCGGCCTTCATCAGGTGAAGGGGGGCGAGACTGTCTGGTAGGACAGCGCTGGAGTGAAAGAGCCACGTTCAGATACGGCCTGAAATTTGAGGGCGCTTTGTTCCTCTCACACAGCTTAAAGGCCGTATCTGAACGTGGCTCTTTCACTCCAGCGCTGTCCTACCAGACAGTCTCGCCCCCCTTCACCTGATGAAGGCCGCTTGTGTTGTGGCCGAAACGTCGTGAGAATATTATTGTGTTATTTTATTTTATCAATGTATTATTTTATTATCATTCTACGTGACTTTACCGAAAGAACCAAAGAAGAAAAAAGTGTGTCAAGTCGTCATTAGATATATATTCCTACATATGTCCCAGTATTTGAATGCTGTTGCATTTAGACACTACATAAATCCATATTATATTCGTGTAAAAAGGCAGTGCTTGTTCATGACAAAACCAGTAGAGTTTGTTCAGCGTGTGGTTCAAGGAATAATAACTATTGCTAGTTTTGCTGTTGTGCCCAATTAAGAAAAGTGGGATTTAGTGTAAAATGATGACACAACTCTCTCGATTCTCATGTAATGGAATCCACAACAGTCTTAAACGTTTCACAGGTTTTAATGTGACTCGTGCAGTATATACCACTGAGTCGCCTCGTGCTTTTGTGTCCCTCATTTCAGACTCTGGGTTGAGCTCTCAGGATGCCATCACGCCCTGTCTGGACGTTGATGACGTCAACTTCCTGGAGTCTCAAGCAGCCATGAAATCGTCACCTCCATCGAACGCCGACACCAAGCACACGACCGCACTGGTCCACACTCACCCTAAGTCTTGCAGTGAGCCCAGCTCGGCACATCCCAGACTCGATGGCTGCTGCTCGTCTTTTCAAAAGTGTTCCATCTCTTCTCTTCAGCACATAGATGGGTGTCAGCATTCTCCTGGAAGCCAGTCACACACCCCGATATCCAACAATTGTATTTGTGTCCATCCCGACAAGGAATCTTCTCATCACACCCACCACAAACATTATAGTTACCGTAACTGCTCCTTGCACAGTCAACCCCATGGGCAGCATTGCCCGGTGTCATGTCTGGACCATCATTTTCCTGCCAACTGTGACAATGGGAAATCCACTCCCCCACATCTTCAGGATTCTCAGTGTTGCACAGTAGCACAAGAAAACAGTATAGAAGTCCTCATGAAGCCATTTTCTAATCAGGAATGTGCCATGTCACCATTGCCCTCCAACCTCCAAAGATCCTGCTTGCCTCAGCGATGTAAACTTCAGACTTCTCCCATATCAGAGCCTTGTAGCTACCAGCCTTCAATTTACGAGAGGCCACTCTACAAAAAATCGCAAAATTACCAGACACCATCTCAACTGTATTACAAGGAAAGAGCCTCTGCATCCCCTCAGCCATCTAACTTCCAGTCCGTGTCATCTTTGCACCAGTCATATAATTATCCTTGTCCTCCCTTGACTTCATTGTCTAATGAACCAGACCCTCCTTCTGGTCATCATAAACCACCTTTGCCAATAGTGTCTACCCACCACAGACCTATTTCTCCACCATTGTCTGCCCAACAGCTGGCAACTGCGCAGTTAACTTCGGATTACAAGAGATCGCTGTCTCCAGTTTCAGCTGCTGCCCATCCCACATCATCGAAGCCCTCACATGGACACCCAAATAGACCGTTGTCACCACCACCATCAGCTAACCAGAGACCACTCTCACCACCTGCCAACCAGCAGTCACTTTCGCCCCCTCTTATTGATGAAGAACCACTCTCACCAACACATACCAGTCAACAAAGGCAATTCCCAACACGTATTCACCAGCAGACACTACAAACCTCAACAACCTGTAACCCACAGAGACCTCTGTCACCATCACCGAATTCACAGAGGCCCCTCTCACCACCACCAAATCAACAGAGGCCTCTCTCACCACCACCTAATCCACAGAGACCTCTCTCACCACCACCAAATACACAGAGACCTCTCTCACCACCACCAAATACACAGAGACCTCTCTCACCACCACCTAACCCACAGAGACCTCTCTCACCACCACCTAATCCACAGAGGCCTCTCTCACCACCACCGAATCCACAAAGACCTCTCTCACCACCACCGAATCCACAAAGACCTCACTCACCACAGAGACCCCTCTCTCCATCAGCTAATATACACCCACCAACATCAAACCCACAAAGACCTTTCTCACCTCTTAATAATCCACAAAGACCTATTTCTCCATCCACTAGTCTACAAAGACCTCTCTCTCCACCACCTAGCTTTCAAAGGCCTCTCTCACCAGCACCTAATCTACAAAGACCTCTCTTACAAACTCCTAATCCGCAAAGACCTCTCTCTCCACCACATAATCTACATAGACCTCTCTCGCCATCATTTAATAAAGAGAGAATTTCAAATCCACAATCTTCCAACCACCACTGTCCATTTTCGTTGTCGAATTCCAATCACCAGGTGCCTCTCGCAGCACAGCCTGGCCTACAAAGGGCTTTGTCTCCAGTCCCACAAAATCACCACAGGTCACTTTCTCCACCACCCAATCACCAGAAGCCACCATTACCACAAACATCCAATCATCACAGGACTGTGTCATCCCAAGCGCACCATCAGCAGAGACTGACTGCCCTTTCCTTGGACAACCATAGACCAATATCTCCTCTCGCTTCCACCCAACAGAGAGCATTTTCTCCAGCACCATCCACCCCTGACAGACCGATTTCTCCAGTACCTCCAATGCAACATAGGCCCCTCTCTCCATCACCCTGTAACCACCAGAGGCCTCTTTCACCAACGCCTGCATGTCACCGGCAAAACTTTTCATGTCCTTCAAGTCAGCAAAAGGCAATGTTATCTCCCCATTTTGGTCAGGATTTGTCATTTTTATATCCAGCTATGGACAACTATAAAGTTACTTCACCACACGCTTTTAAGCAGAAGTCATGCTTGTCTCAGTCTTTAACCAGTCAGAGGCCACTCTATGTGCAGCACCTGACACGAAGCCACTTGTCCTCTCCACCACAAGATTCCCTCTCTTCTCCATCCTGTTCTAGTTCTTCATCTCATCTTTCTGCAGATTCCCATAATCTTCACTGCGCACATGTCGCTTTGCCTTCACAAGTGCACGTCAACGCCAAATGTCCTCCATACAAGCAGTCTCTTCAGACCAATCTCGAGTACGATGACCTTCCTCATTCCGTCAACCCTGAGCACTGCTCTTGTCAAAGCCACAAGAGCCAGCAGTGCCATTCCGGCTGTGCAAAGCCACACGCCCCATGCTTGCCACCGCTAAGCGAGCAGCAGGGCTCTCACGCCAAGCGCAATGCGCTCAGTCTCTCGGATTCTTCCACCGACCACAGCAGCACCTCGGCCTCCGTCTTCCAGCCCAGTCTCAGACACAGGCACCGCGAGCCGCCAGGGGCGCCAGATGCTGCAGCGGTACGGGTGAGGAGCGGCCCGCTGTCCACCGAGTGGCTACCGGATGCGGTGATGCTGCGGGTGCTGACCCACCTACCGGTGGAGAGCCTGTGCCGCAGCGCGCGCGTGTGCCGCCGCTGGTACTGGCTCGTGTGGGACCCGCGCCTCTGGCAGACGGTTCAGCTTGGGTGAGAGTGCTGTGCGGATTTTGTCGGAAATATAGACATTGTTATTAATCGGTGTTATTATATTTTTTTACATTATCTGTTAGGAATGGCTTAGGGTGAGTTTAAAACTGACCTGTGTACATAAAGCATTAACGTTTAATATTGTGTAATGTCACGTGCATGAAATTCCTGTGGGGCAGCCAGGTGGGAGGCAGTAAGTGCAGTCGGTGACTGCTATGTGCTGTCAAGAAGGGCCATTGCCAGAAATGTCACCAATAATACATATCATTTTTTTATTTTAAGGCAGAGTTATTGATGAATGTGGTGAGTTTTATTGTTGCTGTGTGGAGTTTGAATTTGAGTTATTTTCTTGAATATATGGGATCTCTCTCGACATTCCTTTTTATGCCCATGTGCAAAACCACAAAAATATACCGACAAATCTTACCTTAAATCTTAGAATTTCAGCACATATATAAATATATTTGGCCAGGTGGCTCAGCAGCAAAGTGAGCAGCTCACAATTGGAAGGTTGCAAATTCATATTTTGGTTTCATATCCTGTAAGGTTGTGAGTCCATATCTGAGGTGGATAAAGTAACTACCGCTATGTGTGGAAGACAAAAATAGTTGTCCTCTGAAGAGCCTTGCCCCCCCCCCCCCCATCCCCCATAGGATGTTAAATTGCCACCACTGCCTTAGAGGCTGTAAGCAGGAGATTGGCACAGGTTCAATGCTCATTTGAGCAATAAATCACTCTTTTTTGGTATAAATGTGAAGTGAACGATTGATTTGTCACACAAGCATTAATGGCAGAATCGTTTGTTTCAAGAAGGCCCTGGGATGAAGGCTCAGGGCCGAATGTGGAGCGAGCATTGGACGCGCTGACGGCACGGCTGTGTCGGGACACGCCGTTCGTGTGCCTCTCGCTCGAGACGCTGGTGCTGAGTGGCTCCCCAGCGCTGGGCGACGCGGGGCTTCTCACGGTGGCCCGGCGCTGCCCAGAGCTCCGACGTCTTGAGGTGTCAGGCTGCGGCGAAATCTCCAACCGTGGCCTCCTTGAGGTGGTGACGCGGTGCCCCAACTTGGAGCACCTCGACGTTTCAGGTTCATCCTCTTTCACGTCTTCGCGACAGTTGGGCTAACTCTTCGTACAAACCACAAAAGCCAAATAATACAATGCACCAACCTGTTGGCCCACAGCGGTGTAATATAGCTGTTTAAGTCCAGCAATTGACATAGACTGCTAATACCGCTATCACATTTTATTGTAAAAATAAGTTTTGCTGGCTAGAGGGATGGACGGATGGCCATATCCAAAGGATATGCACATTGCTAGTTAGTTTTAAAAGCAAATTACTGTAGACCTGTTTTTTGTTGTTTCATCATGTCGTTTACTACAATAGAAATATGTAGTTAACATGGCATTCGCTTGATTTATCATGTGCACCTCACATTTAAACATACGTCTATCCCTGCTATTTGCCTCCACTTTTGCTCTCGCCCAGACTGCCCGGAGATCACTTGCGTGAGTCTTATCCCTGAGGCGTCGTGCCAGGCCTGCCCGCTGCACAGCCGCCACCTGTTGCTGCGCCACCTCGACATGTCGGGCTGCTCGGGCCTCACGGACGAGGGACTGCTCGCCGTGGCGCGACACTGCCCCCGCCTCGCCCGCCTCTACCTGCGCCGCTGCCCCGGCGTGGCGGACGGGGGCCTGCGTGCCCTCGCGCGCCACTGCACGGCGTTGCGCGAGCTGAGCCTGTGCGACTGCCCCACGGCGACGGACGCCGGCCTGCGGGATGTGGCGGCTGCGCTGGGCCCAAGGCTCCGCTATCTGAGCCTGGCACACTGCGAGCGCGTCACGGACGTCACCCTGCGCTGCCTCGGCCGACGCTGCCCCGGGTTGCGCTACTTGAATGCGCGTGGTTGCCTGGGCGTGACGGACCGTGGGCTCGAATCGTTGGGCCGCGGGTGCCCGAGACTCAGAAGCCTGGACGTGGGTCGCTGCCCACTGGTCACGGACGTCGGATTGGAGGTGCTGGCTCGTGGGTGTCCGGGCCTGAAGCGGCTCGGCCTCAAGGGCTGTGAGGGCGTTTCGGAGCGGGGGCTGCGTGGCGTGGCACTCTGCTGCCCCGGGCTGCAGCTGCTGAGCGTGCAAGACTGCAACCTGTCCCCCGACACGCTGCGGTTCGTGCAGCAGCACTGCCGGCGCTGCGTGATCGAGCACACCAACCTGGGATGTGTTTGACTCCTCAACGAGCGATTTACATTGACAACCTTGGCTTTGGCGATGGAAGATAAGATAGATTTTTTTAGAGGTATTGCGGACTGAAACGGTGTGCAAAATGTTGTATTTTATTATTTTGTGTAAGTTGCAAACACATGTTAATCGAAAATCATCACTCATTTAAAGAATGAAATTAATGCCCTTGTTATCATTGTAATATGAAAATAGCAATGCTGCTGATGCACTTACCTTCTAACTAATATGGTATCCTGCTGTTGATAAAATAAGAACGTAGGTGTTGTAGCGACATTTAACCAAAGTGAATCTTTTGAGCGTCGTCACATTTACAAAACCCGAGTAAACATTAGTAATTATTTTCTGCATCTTAATAGAACCACCACACCACAGCAGCCTGAAATGTATTGAGACCTTTGACCATATTTGTGTTTAGGTTTTATATCCGTCTGTGTGTGCATTTCTTATAAGTCTTTTGTCATTGGTGTGAATTGCCTTGAAGGCTCGATTGAGTTCTGTGTGGGAAGACGGTGATCCCGGATGCAACCTGAAGCCAGGGGAGGAAATGGAAAGGCTGCAGCAGTGAGCGCTGTGGGGATCCCTCCTAATGAGCCCGCTCGTGTAGACGGAGTCACTGTTTTTTGTTAAAAGTTCGTTTTCAAAAAATTTACCGAGAATTGTTTCGGGAATGTTCTCTCCCGACGCATTCTATCAGATCACAGTTTGCAGTTCTCCACTGAAATGTGGATATAAAGTGGTTTTCATGCCAAACAGTTTTCTGGTGTGTGACTTATCTTCTTTTTTTAAAACTACTATATAAATGATAACCATAATAATGAAAAATAAACATTTAGAAGAAACACAAATTTCAAGAGATAGACAAACCGCTGTTTGAGCGCGGTTCATGGTTTTTCCTGAACCGAAATGAATAAGTGCTGCGCCTTCAGCTGACTGCTGAAAGCAGAGGGAGTTTGAATGCTTCATATGTGGAGTGATAGAGAGTTCCAGATGATGGGAGCAGCCGCAGAAAAACGCTGCTCTGTTAAGAGAGTCCTGTTTGTGAGGACGATCGCGAGATCTTGGGACATGCCCCGAAGAACACGGTGCTTCTCAATGGTAAAAGGTTTCAGGAGAGTGGAGAGATATGGCAGCTGACGTTGAAACATGGCATGATGACAGAGTATGGCAATCTTATACTTGTTTCTAGATTTAAAAGGAAACCAGAACAAGGGTTTGTGCAAGGTTTTTAACGCAGTCATGCAGTTCATGTGACTGCACCCAGTACAAAAATCCCTGGTGAACTCTGGCTGTGGACATGATGACTGATGATATCGAGTTTCCAACCTTGGCATAAGACCATCAGTTGGCATAAGACCAACAGGTCAGATTTAAACCACTGCAGTGCCATGCAGCTGACAGCAAAATCTGATTCCAGGTGCTCCATTTAGGTGTCATGATTAAATGTGTCAAAGGCAGCAGATATATCAATGCAGACCAATGTGATCATGGAATTGGAGTCGACAAGCCATAAAAATTGTCATCAGTGATCTCAACAAGCGTGGTCTCAGTGGAGTGTGCTGAATGGTAGACAGACTGGTGTGAGCAAACCATTGGTGGAAGAGATGGTGTAGTCTTTGAGTCTAGGAGCTTGGAGGCTATTGATGAATGAGTGATTGGGCAGTAAGTGGCAGGGTTTAAACCAAGCTTTTTATTTTGGTGTGACCTGACCAAATTTCTTTGGCTGGGAAAATAGAACCACACTCATGAGCTGTTTGCAATGTGGACAATCATGACTGAGAGTTTAGAGCATTGCTTGAAGATGGTGCCCGATAGGTGGTCAAGGGGAGAGGTGTTTTTATTGGAGAAGTCTGAATGAGGCTGAATACTTCCTGAGGCATGACAGGTGGGAGAGAGGAAAGCAAAGTTTAAGGGGTAAAATAATAAATGTGACAGTTGGTTGTGACTGGCTGAATGCAATGCCCTGATGGTGGTAGCAATTTGATGTGTTGGGGGTTTTTTTGTTTCTTGGAGAACAAGTCAAAATTTGTGGGGAACCAGGAGCTTTGTATGGTGATCACGCTCGGCTAGTTACAGTGGAGGAGGCCAATCAGTGTGGATCAGAGTTGATAGGGATGATTCACAACGGAGTTCATGTGTTCATTAACGAAGAAAAAAAGTGAGGTTATGATTAACATAGCTGTGGACTTGCAGGCTCGGCAAGTCCCAATCGAGAGTAGATGACATCTAGTCAACATCTGCAGCATTTGGATGCAACGACAGTTGACAATTGCCATTGGTTGTCATGGCTGGAAATTTAAGGTTGTTAGATTGTTAAATGCGTTCCCTTGGTTTGCGCCAACTATGAAATCTGATTAGGGGGAGCCATGAGAAGGGGTGATGGGTCAGTAGGTTTGACAGGAAAATAAGAATAATAATCTGAAAAATCGTAATAAGAACCTCATCCATTGAGAGGGCTTGACTTATTTAAGACGCCATTGGTCATTCATTTAAGTGCTTTCAGTCATAACCTTTTATGGTAACATTCTACAACTCTGCTACAGTTATGGGTTGGACTCAATGAAAATAAGCACTTTGTTACAGGATTATATTTTTTTGCAATGTATGCATGTGTAAATTAGTCTTTTAAAAAGTAATCAACTCATAATCCTGCACAAACTAACTTTATTGCAATATGTTAGGAACACAGCTTGCTTGGGTGTGCAGCTTGTATGCTGGACAACAGATTGGCTCTATTTTCAAATGTAATTCATTGTTGTGTATAATTCATTTGTTGAAAAAGAGAAAAGTTAAGCTTGGATTAAAACACCTAGAAAGCCATAGGCAATTCATGATATTTAATTTGCTATTAAACCTATTTGCTATATTATTATTTTTTTACAAGCACAGTAATACCACACAGTATTTGTTATTGTTATGAATAAACAATTTGTGAAACCAAGTTGGTGGGCATACAGAGTAGTAGACCGGCTGAGAACAATGTGCATTTTATCTACTTATATAAACATGCAAATTGCATTTTCATCCAACCAATTATGAATGATGAATCGAGTTGGTCCAAGAAAAGCATGCAGCCAGGCCTTGTAAATGGCTTCCATGCCTGATGGTGATTTGAATGTGCCTGGGAAAATATAAGATTGGAGAGTAGAGCAATTAAGTCGTCATCCTATAAAGTAATTAAACACATAATTATTTTACAGGATATCCGTGAAAGTATCATGCATTATTAAATCGTTATAATGACACAAGCAATTTGAGCCGGGTCGATTAAACGATACATGATCACCACACACACTTGGTAGTACGGTGCTGTATGTCTTGTTGTACGACTATTGTTCCTATAAATCTCTCACGTCTGCCATGGTGTTGTTCATTCATCATATTGAGATCTGAGAGTCGCAGATGTTTGTCATAAAGCCTATCCACACATTCACTGTCGGACACGCTCGTGACCAATGCTTACAAGAAGACCATCAGTTCCCCACGCAATACACTTGTGAATGTGTATGTTGACTCACTCATACTAAATGTTCATTCATTCTTGAAAATCAATCGCTTCTGATAAACATTGTGTTCCTCTATTTTCTTAATTACACTACCGTAATTCAAAACTTGTTGCGGCATTCTGAATTAATTTTTCGAGGTGCCTGCACACGTTGCGTATGATACGGGCACATCCTGAGAAGTTTTTGCTTATGTTTGTGTACTGCTATGAAGCAAGAACCGGTACCAGCGAATGTTCTTTGAGTCAGTATTTGTGTACTGTGCATCATTGCTTCCTTGAAACATTCTGTGGTTTCCCTGGACGTGGAGAGCCTGACAACAAGTGGTCCTATACTAATGTGCCACAGTTTCAAAATTATGATACCAATGCAACATTTTTGGTGGTGAGATGGCCCAGCAGTAGCACGTTCGCTGCGTTTTGAAGATGTTTGTGGTTTGAAATCCAGCAGGTCGCCCTGATTAATACTAGAGATGTATTAACCATAAAGTATGTGCCTGCTCATCAACAGTGGACATTAAAGATCCCGTGAAGTCATTCAAAGAAGAGAAGGTCATTGTGTCTTGCAGTCATGGTCCAAATGTGCCAAATGTAAAAAGAATACTCGCAAATTACATAATTGGCAAACAGCAATCGTTGCTCCCTTCAGTGAATATTAGCAGGACCCTCCTGAAAAAGTCTTGACACTCAGTGAGGCTTTCCTGTGTAAACAAGTTTAACAATAATAATAAAATATTCTGCCTTCATGGTGTTTTACTTGTCTTTAAAATTCTCAGTTTTTATGTGCATGACACTTGAAGGCTTTGCTTGAAAATTTTAACATTTATTTTATCTTGTAAGGATGTAATTTTATTGGAGGGTACTCATCTGATACCTATCAGTAAAAAACATAAAGTCCGTATTGAATGTTACAAACGTTTCAACCACAAAGTTCAAACAGCTGTCTACCTTAATGGAACGATACCTTAATGGACACAATTTACATGAAGGCTGCACTATAAACTGCACACATTTTATGCAGCTGTCAGGTATTTAGCTGTGAATATTTTGCATAGGTAAGCACTTTAAACCAGTATTGTTTGCAATTCTTACTCTCTATTTCGCGAATGTCTTACCTGTGTATATCATGCACTATGGAGGGAGGAGTACGTTGCGGATTTTGATATTGAAGAGACCTCCATCCAGACCCTGCTCCAGCTCTTCTGAGATGGGGGGTGCAGTAGAGCAGTCATGTGGGGGCCACCATAACAGTGATTCACACCGCTAATATAATTAACTTGGCTGGGCCAAAGGGCTCTGAAATCCAAATATCGGTTCTGAAGGGTTTTGCGCAGTGTGAGATTCTGTCGGCAGGAGGAGGTTTTGAATAAAAAGTAGGTTATAGCGTATCAATTGTAAATTATTCATCAGTTGTTTGTCATCACAACCAACCGGGGTCCTGTGCATCAATACTGGAGGTTTATCCTTCCCACTGATATTTTAACGATTTTGCTTTTATTGTCTTAAAGAAAAGGAAAAAAACAAGAAAGTTAACTGTTATTTTAGTTCACAATTTAAATTTTCAAATTCATGTTTTACAACAATAACCATTTTAGAAATGAGACCACATTTTACAAAGCCACAATATAATTCCGTGCTATTTTACATGCATTCCGCCGGGTTGAAATATTTTGTGATGTAAATTGGAGTCTCTGTTTATTTGAGTGGCACCAACCCTAAAGGCTCAGAAAATACTGCACTGGACTTTATCTAGGAGAGAATAATGCTGGAGCTCTGAACAAGTTCTCTTCTTTCCCACGGATTTAAACACTGCAGTAATTTAGGTTTTTTTTTTTAAAACTGCCCAAACATTCCCAAATTACCTCAGGAAACAGATACATGTGGTAAGTTGATTTTATTTACAAGAATCCATTTACGTCGTACTTTTTAGGATCAAGATCTCACACAAAAACTCAACAATACATACAGTATGTAAATTATAGTCACAAGAAAAAAACAGTCAAACATTTAAAATCAGCTAAATAAAACTCAGCTCATTTCTGCAAAGTTAATTGTTAATAAAAATCCCTTTTGAACAAATATATCTTTGGGCAACATTTAAAAATGGACACTGGACCCGTGAGCTCGAATGGCGAGGAGATTCAATAGAGAAGGTTATATCAGCTTTCGCTTGCATGTTTAAATGAGGGAGCCTTAATAGTCCTGTATCTTTGAATGGCATGAACGACCAGGACATGAGATGAGATTTAATTCAGGTAATGAGGGGGCTAGGGTATTTATAACCTTACAAGCTAAAAGCAGAACACTGAACCTAAGGCGAAAATGAACAGGTATCCAGTGCAGCAAGGCCAAAACTGAAGTATTGTGATGATTTATTTTAAGGTTATGAAGGGTGATAAACCCGACTTGAAGCATTTGCACATGTATATAAATCATGCACAAATATCATTGGGAGCAGAATAATGAACAAATTAGAGGCCAGCCAGCCATGGGAGGAATTAGCGGGATTTAGGAAAGGTTTCTCTATTGACCACATGCAAACTATTAATCAAATTCTGGAAAAGACCAATTCATTTCACATACCATTGTTCCTAGCTTTTGTAGACTCTAAACAAGTGCTTAACTCAATAGAAATTGATGCAGTCATAGACGCTTCCACAAAGCAAAGCCTAAATAATAATTTTAAACCAATTATGAAGAAATAATAAATCAATTCCTGAACATGGAACAGCCACACAAAGAATACGTGAATAAAATACTCACTAGGGGCGTTGGGGCCCAGGCACATTAACAGGAGAGTCACAAGGTAAAGGTGGAACTTTTTCCAGTCTCCCTACCCATACTTTGGACAATCGGTGTCCCTTACCATATGCAACCTGTGCTATGAGGTCAGGCCTGTTGGCTGGGATCTGAAACAATGCGGAATTAAGTTAAAAGCTGAAGCAAATTAGAATCAGGACTGTCTAACAATGGCGTTGTGTGTGCTGTTGCATGGCTGAGGAGGTGGTATTATGGGAAACATTGCACATGGACCGTGTGGAGTAGGTGGCATGATTGAGATTATTATAACACTGGGCCTACTTACTGACTTCATGTTCACTTATTTAACACGAATGCTCTTGCTGTGCACATTGCAAGCACGCAGAAATGACTTGCAGCGCGTCACACACCCCATCCCCTCTTGGCTGGATGTTGCCCCACTTTCAATTATTCAATCAGCGGGTGGCTCACGACTTCTTAATTACTTGAACAATGAGAGCCTTGTGCGCATGCGTGGTCACACACACAGAGCATTCCACGCCATTTACTGGGTGTACAAATCTGTCCAAACTGACCTGACCCAGGCCCCTGTACTCATACCAAATGGGAACATCATTATTATCATGCACTCTCCAACATATCGCTCTCTCCACTCTATCCTCTCACTACTCTCCCCTCTCCAACACTCTGTCTCCAGCCAACCTCCACGCAGTTGGAGGTCACTCACAACTCCTTTGCTGCTGCAGTCGTAGTAATCTTCTTGAACTGCATTCCCTCAGTGATCCGTACTGCTGAATCCCTGCCCTGCTCAAGTCCAAGCTCAAGGCCGTCTTCTTCTCATCTAGCCCGACGACCTCGTCCATACAGTTAGCAGTATCCTGGACATCTGTGAAAAAGAGCTTAATAGTTCATCGGATATCTCCAGTTTAAATCATTATTCTTGTGTGCCTCGAATATGAAACGCTTTGTACAACACCTTGAAATGCGGTTGTATTTACACGCTGTTCCATTGCTCGTCGTTATGATTCATGTGCACATTTCTGTTTGCCTCGATAGCCTACATATGTAGCACGAGAATACCTTTTGCGTACAACGAAAAACATCCTTGCGCGCGCGATGCCAAACATGTGCTGCGAGCCGTGATAAGCACCACGACATTGAGTGATGAGTGGTTGCGACATTGCATTCCTTAGCCAGGGCCAACTCGAGGTTCTTGGAGGCCCGCGTCAGAAAGCCACATTTGGGGGCCCCCTTTATATCACCATCCACAGGCCAGGGTGTGGCCGACCCTCTTTTTGTGTGGACCCCCGGGGAAAATTGCTCCTTTTGCCCACCCAAATGTGGGTGGCCCTACTCCAAACTATCGACTCTCGAGAAGGAGCTGACTCCGCATGGCTGTGTGGGGACCGGGCGCAGTTCGTCCTCTAGGGGCCGCTGGGGCCCAGGCACTCTCCAAGCAGCTCGAGATGATAACAAAACAAAAAAATTGTTCTACAAAAATAAATAATTACTTTTCTATAAAATTTTGATTTAAAGCTTTCGTGACTGCAGTAATTCATATTCTTAGTTTGAGTTATGGTCGAAACGTCGTGAGAATTTTTTTTTGTTTTATATATATTTTGTTGTTTCTCTTCAACGTGACTTTACCGAAAAAACTAAGAATACTTTTCTATACATTGTTTTGTTATGTTTCAAACAAATTAAAGTGGAATGATTGTTTCAACGTGGATTTCCTAATGAAGATAACGTTTTAAGTTGTTCGTATTAGAAACCGCTGCAACACCGCAGTCTGATTTGTGCCTGGGGGGAGGTCTCTGGGCATCTGTGAAGGCGTCCTGAGTGAGAGATGTCACCCTTCATTCACTGCGATTAGCTTCTAGCATTGTAGCCACGCCGTTTGAGACACATTCAGGGCGGTGAAAAAGGGCGCCCGTGGCTGTAATGAGAAGATGTCACAACGCGAGGTTGCGCTGTGCAAATCGAGCAGCTCACTGTCTACACGCTCTAGGAGGAAACAGCAATAGCGATGGTAGCAGGTGCAGCAAACGAAGAATTAGCAACCAACACTGTGGAGTCACTCCTAAATATTCCATTTGAAATGTTTTGGTGAGTCGTGTCAGCCGATCTTTAATTGTTCTTTCGGCTTTTGGCAGTGTTAAAGACGTTGTGTAGTGTGCACTTGAGGGTCATGGGGACAGCACGTGAGTGCTTTGTTGTTTGGTTTCGTATTGTTTATAAATGCCTACCGCTGGTAGATAAGTCAGTTATATCACTTTCACGGGAAGGCCAATAACATGACGAGGTTTTTTTCTTAATGAGAACACCAAATTTTCAGAGGTCACTCACAACAGCCCCACCTCGTGGCAAGATCACGAGCCGCCACTGGTGGAGACACTGGTGGGTGATTGAAGGGCACAACAGATTTTAATTGTGGGAAGTGGGGGGGCGGGTTGATTTGTATTGGGGGCGGGGGGGGGGCACACATTTTACAGGCGGAGGTGTTTGATATTAATGACTGGCTGCTTTAAATATCCGGGGCACTGATTTTAATTGGATGGTGGGGCACTGATTTTAATTTGTGGGAGGGCTGCGGGATCTGGACCCCAATGCCCCCCCCCGTGCCTCACCCCCAATGCCCCCCCCCCCCGTGCCTCACCCACAATGACCTCCCCCCCGTGCCTCACCCCCAATGCCCCCCCCCCCGTGCCTCACCCCCAATGCCCCCCCCGTGCCTCACCCACAATGCACCCCCCCCGTGCCTCACCCCTAAGGTGCCCCCCCGTGCCTCACCCCTAAGGTGCCCCCCCCCCATGCCTCACCCCTAACGAACCCCCCCCGCCCTCGTGCTGGCCCCACCCGCAGCTCAGAAGCCCGAGTGCAGCACCACAACCCCGGTGCGAGGTCTCTTTTCCGCGTGCGGCGCAAACACGAGAAACACAAGCCTGTGTACTGTTACGGCAGAGGGAATGGGGGCTCCCCCTCGCTCGTCACGTGGCGGAGCATTGGATCCCTACGATTGGCGGAGAGGTGTATCACGTGACGTAGGGGGCCAGCTTCACGTGCCATGGCGGAGGGGACAGCGGCGGGATCCCCGGACGAGGCGTGGAAGGTGAGACTCAAGAGACAGTGAGACAGAGAGTGAGACAGAGACTCAGAGACAGAGAGACAGTGTGTGTGAGACAGAGACTCAGAGACAGAGAGACAGTGTGTGTGAGACAGAGACTCAGAGACAGTGAGACAGTGAGTGAGACAGTGAGTGAGACAGAGAGTGAGACTCAGAGACAGTGAGACAGTGAGTGAGACTCAGAGACAGTGAGACAGTGAGTGAGACTCAGAGACAGTGAGACAGTGAGTGAGACTCAGAGACAGTGAGACAGTGAGTGAGACAGAGAGTGAGACTCAGAGACAGTGAGACAGTGAGTGAGACTCAGAGACAGTGAGACAGTGAGTGAGACAGAGACAGAGACTCAGAGAGTGAGACAGAGACTCAGAGAGTGAGACAGAGAGACTCAGAGACAGTGTGTGTGAGACAGAGAGTGAGACTCAGAGACAGTGAGACAGTGAGTGAGACTCAGAGACAGAGACTCAGAGAGTGAGACAGAGACAGAGAGACCCAGAGACAGTGTGTGTGAGACAGAGAGTGAGACTCAGAGACAGTGAGACAGTGAGTGAGACTCAGAGACAGAGACTCAGAGAGTGAGACAGAGACAGAGAGACTCAGAGACAGTGTGAGTGAGACAGACAGTGAGACAAAGACTCAGAGACAGTGAGACAGAGAGTGGGACAGAGAGTGAGACAGAGACTCAGAGACAGTGAGACAGTGTGTGTGAGACAGAGAGACTCAGAGACTCAGAGACAGTGAGACAGTGAGTGAGACAGAGTGAGACAGAGACTCAGAGACAGTGAAACAGTGAGTGAGACAGAGACTCAGAGACAGGGAGACAGAGACACAGAGACTCAGAGACAGTGTGTGTGAGACAGAGAGTGAGATTCAGAGACAGTGAGACAGTGAGTGAGACAGAGAGTGAGACAGAGACTCAGAGACAGTGAGACAGTGAGTGAGACAGAGAGTGAGACAGAGACTCAGAGACAGTGAGACAGTGAGTGAGACAGAGAGTGAGACTCAGAGACAGTGAGACAGTGAGTGAGACAGAGAGTGAGACTCAGAGACAGTGAGACAGTGAGTGAGACAGAGAGTGAGACAGAGACTCAGAGACAGTGAGACAGAGACACAGAGACTCAGAGACAGTGTGTGTGAGACAGAGAGACTCAGAGACTCAGAGACAGTGAGACAGAGACAATGAGACAGAGAGACTCAGAGAGTGAGAGAGTGAGACAGAGAGACTCAGAGACAGTGAGACAGAGACAATGAGACAGAGAGACTCAGAGACAGTGAGAGAGTGAGACAGAGAGACTCAGAGACAGTGAGACAGAGACAGTGAGACAGAGAGACTCAGAGACAGTGAGAGACAGAGAGTGACAGAGAGTGAGACAGAGAGACTCAGAGACTCAGAGACAGTGAGACAGAGACAGTGAGACAGAGACAGTGAGACAGAGAGACTCAGAGACAGTGAGAGAGTGAGACAGAGAGACTCAGAGACTCTGAGACGGAGACAGTGAGACAGAGAGACTCAGAGACAGAGAGACTCAGAGACAGTGAGACAGAGACAGTGAGACTCAGAGACAGTGAGAGAGTGAGACAGAGAGACTCAGAGACTCGGAGACAGTGAGACAGAGACAGTGAGAGAGTGAGACTCAGAGACTCAGAGACAGTGAGACAGAGACAGTGAGACAGAGAGACTCAGAGACAGTGAGAGAGTGAGACAGTGAGACAGAGACAGTGAGACAGAGACAGTGAGACAGAGAGACTCAGAGACAGTGAGACAGAGACAGTGAGACAGAGAGACTCGGAGACAGTGAGACAGAGACAGTGAGACAGAGAGACTCAGAGACAGTGAGACAGAGACAGTGAGTGAGACAGAGACTCAGAGACAGAGTGACAAAGACACAGAGAGAGTGAGACTCAGAGACAGAGACACAGACAGAGACACAGAGACAGAGTGAGTGTGAGACACAGAGAGTGTGAGACACAGAGAGTGAGACACAGACACAGAGAGTGTGAGACACAGAGTGAGTGACAGAGACAGAGAGTGAGACACAGAGAGTGAGACACAGAGAGAGTGAGACAGAGAGAGAGTGAGACAGAGAGAGAGTGAGACAGAGAGAGAGTGAGACAGAGAGAGAGTGAGACAGAGAGAGAGACAGAGAGAGAGTGAGACAGAGAGAGTGAGACAGAGACACAGAGACACAGAGAGTGAGACAGAGACACAGAGACAGAGACACAGAGACAGAGAGTGAGACAGAGACACAGAAAGAGTGAGACAGAGAGTGAGACACAGAGACACAGAGAGTGAGACAGAGAGACAGAGACACAGAGAGTGACACACAGAGTGAGACACAGAAACAGAGAGTGTGAGACACAGAGACAGAGTGTGAGACACAGAGACAGAGACACAGTGAGACAGTGAGACGCAGAGAGTGAGACACAGAGAGTGAGATACAGAGAGAGACACACAGAGAGTGAGACAGAGAGAGTGAGACACAGAGTGAGACACAGAGACAGAGAGTGAGATACAGATAGAGAGACAGAGAGAGTGAGACACAGAGACAGAGAGTTAGACACAGAGAGAGTGAGACACAGACAGAGAGAGTGAGACACAGAGACAGAGAGTGAGACAGAGACAGAGAGAGTGAGACACAGTGGCAGAGAGAGTGAGACACAGAGACAGAGAGTGAGACAGAGACAGAGAGAGTGAGACACAGTGGCACAGAGAGTGAGACACAGTGACACAGAGAGTGAGACACAGTGACACAGAGTGAGACAGAGAGACAGAGAGAGTGAGACACAGAGTGAGACACAGAGAGTGTGAGACACAGAGACAGACAGTGAGACACAGTGAGACAGAGAGAGTGAGACACAGAGACAGAGTGAGACACAGAGAGTGAGACACAGAGACAGAGAGTGAGACACAGAGACAGAGAGAGTGAGACAGAGACAGAGTGAGACAGTGACACAGAGAGTGAGACAGAGAGTGTGAGACACAGTGACACAGAGAGTGAGACAGAGAGTGTGAGACAGAGAGTGTGAGACAGTGAGACACAGAGAGTGAGACAGTGAGACTGTGAGACACAGAGAGTGAGACAGAGAGAGTGAGACACAGAGACAGAGAGTGAGACACAGAGACAGAGAGTGAGACAGAGACAGAGAGTGAGACACAGAGACAGAGTGAGACACAGAGACAGAGAGTGAGACACAGAGACGGAGAGTGAGACACAGAGACAGAGAGTGAGACACAGAGACAGAGTGAGACACAGAGACAGAGAGTGAGACACAGAGACAGAGAGAGTGAGAGACAGAGAGCGAGACACAGTGACACAGAGAGTGAGACAGAGAGTGAGACACAGAGTGAGACAGAGACAGAGAGTGTGAGACAAGGTGAGACACAGAGAGTGAGACACAGAGAGAGTGAGACACAAAGAGAGACACAGAGACAGAGTGAGACACAGAGAAAGAGTGTGAGACACAGAGTGAGACACAGAGTGAGACAGAGTGTTAGACACAGAGACAGAGAGTGTGAGACACAGACAGAGAGAGACACAGTGAGACAGAGAGTGAGACACAGTGAGACAGAGAGTGAGACACAGAGAGAGTGAGACAGAGTGAGACTGAGACAGAGAGTGTGAGACACAGAGAGTGAGAGACAGAGAGAGTGAGACAGAGAGAGTGAGACACAGTGAGACAGAGAGTCAGATACAGAAAGAGTGAGACAGAGAGTGAGACACACAGACAGAGAGTGAGACACAGAGACAGAGAGTGAGACAGAGAGTGAGACAGACACAGTGAGACAGAGATAGAGTGACAGAGTGACACACAGTGAGATACAAGACGGTCAGACAGTGAGAGACAGAGTGTGAGACGGAGTTCGACACAATGAAACGGTGTGAGACAAGAGTTAAACATAGTGTAAGAGAGCGTTGAGGCACGAGGGAGAGACAGAGTGATAGAGGGCGAGAGACAATGTCTGGGTAAATGAGTGAGATTGTGAGTGCGAGAGGGGGAAGTGAGGAGGGAGAGTGGTGTGTGAAGAGTCGGGGTGAGGAGGGAGAGTGGTGTGTGAAGAGTCGGGGTGAGTGGTGCAGTGGTTGTGTTTTTTATGTTTATTGTGCTTGCTGTTGTAGTTGTTAGTCGGTGGTATTTTTGTGGCTGCGGCCAATTGATTATCCAGTGGTGACTTTCTACTGTGGTGTAACGGTGTCGCTTATTTTGTGTTTTGGTGGTTGTGATTGTTAGTGGTGGTTGTGATTGTTCGTGGTGGTTGTGATTGTTAGTGGTGGTTGTGATTGTTCGTGGTGGTTGTGATTGTTAGTGGTGGTTGTGATTGTTAGTGGTGGTTGTGATTGTTAGTGGTGGTTGTGATTGTTAGTGGTGGTTGTGATTGTTAGTGGTGGTTGTGATTGTTAGTGGTGGTATGTGATTGTTCGTGGTGGTTGTGATTGTTAGTGGTGGTATGTGATTGTTAGTGGTGGTTGTGATTGTTAGTGGTGGTTGTGATTGTTAGTCGTGGTTGTGATTGTTAGTGGTGGTTGTGATTTCGATTTAAAACTTTCGTGACTGCAAGGATTCATCTTCTTTGGTTCTTTCGGTAAAGTCACGTAGAATGAGAATAAAATAATAAATTGATAAAATTAAATAACACAATAAAATTCTCACAACGTTTCGGCTGCAACACAAGCGGCCTTCATCAGGTGAAGGGACGAGACTGTCTGGAGGACAACGCTGGAGCGAACAAAGCCAAGCTCAGATCGCGACCTTTAAGCTGTGTGAGAAGAAACAGCGCCTTGACAAAGGAATTAGCATAGAATTTAGCATTGAAATAGCTGAGTGATTAGCTTGTGACTGGTCACAGACTGGTCACAGTCACAAGCTAAAAAAAAATCAGACTTACACGCACCGAACTCGATCAGTTAGACAAGACACTCTACAAATCACACTTAACATTGACAGCAACAATGTCTACATCGGATTGGGAACATGTAGACAATATGACT